AGGAAGAGGATGGGTGGGCCTTGCTTGATCATGTGGAAAGACCTGGGATTTAAAAAAATAATCTGAAGGAAAGAAAATAGTGCAAGCATCTAGGTTGTTGTCTAGCATATAGTACATGCACAGCCAATGTTTGTTAAAGTGGCAATATGAGCCAACAAGGTGATATAGCTACAGAGCAAAGCTAGCATAGCCTTAGGTCATATTAGCAGAAGCACAGAGTCTACCATGAAGAAGGTGACCCACATCCCACCATCCCCAATTCTCCATCCTGGGTTTACTCCTGGGTACTGCACAGAATAAGTTCTGGACAGACCAAGAGAATCTAGAAGATGTAGGATGTCATTAGCACCAGGAAAGAGGACACACTAACAGTCATCAGAGTGTTATGCAAATATGCTGACTTGGCTTATATTTAGCTACTGGTGGAGCCCTGAGTAATTGTTCTCATAGCCAAGGGAACTCCCTTGGCCGGTGTTCAGCACAGTGAAGGGGAGAAATGGAACCATCACAGAGGGAAGACCTGACATGGCTCTGCTTCTCCGTCTAATGTCCTTGTCTATTCCTCCCCACCCATTTTTCTTTTTTGCCTTTTTCCTTCCCTCCTTCCCTCCTTCCTTCCTTCCCTCCGTCCCTCCTTCCTTCCTTCCCTCCTTCCCTCCTTCCTTCTTTTTTCTTTCTTTCCTTCTTCTTTTCTAGAGACAGGATCTCACTTTGTCAACCAGGCTCAAGTGCAGTGGAGCAAACGTGGCTCACTGGAGCCTTGAAACCTTGGCCTTGGGCAATTCTCCCGCCTCAGCCTCCCAAAGTGTTGGGATTGGCCTTCCAGAGTGTTGTGCTGAGCCAGTGCACCTGGCCTCAATGTATAAAATAATATTCTAAAAATGACAACAGCGTTGGAGTTGTCCTGAGCACCCTGCCATCTGAAGCGGCAAGTTGAGGAGCGGCAGGGATTGGTTTAGATGTTCTTAGCTCAGAACCTATTAGTCTCTCAAGCAATTCTCTCCAAAATGCAGGAGGAAAATACTAATTTATCTATTTCTGTGTAATTTTTAACTAAAAATAGTTAATAGTATATAGTTTAATCCTGATGTGCATCCTTGGCTCATATGTCAGACACCACATCATGTCCATTAAGTGGGGCCCCTAGAGGCCAGTGGGGAGCCCCACAAGGCAGACAGGTTGACTGTGGCTACGTCTTCCTGTTCTCTACATTCAGACTATTGCCATATATTGTAGTGTGCAGGATCCCAGTTGGGTTAATTTGAGGTTCAAGTGATACAGCTTTCACTGAATCAGCCCCCTTATTGTTGACAAATGACTTCAAAGAGTCCCTGCAAAGAAACCGCGGACGGAGATAACCCTAATCGTGATAGTACAAACAAGCAACAGGAAGCCTGCGGGACAGACTCGTCCCTGCTCTTAGTTTAGCTGGATTAGCATGTTGGAAACAGCAGTGGAAAGGAGTCTCACTCACGAAACAATTGTTTCCTGTGTATTAGAGTTCCTGAAATAATCAGAAACAAATACAAACCCAAAATACAAAATAATAACGAGAAACAAATACAAACTCAAACACGTTCCTGAAATAATAATGAGAAACAATTTGAGAGGTGGATTTCTTTTTTTTTTTTTTTTTT